TCTGGGGGTCCCCACGGACCCCACCCCATAATTGTGGGGCTTAAATTCCCTTGTCTGTTTAATCCTTATGGAAGCTAAAAGGATCTGGGGGTCCCTATGATCCCAGGACTCCATCCCATCATTGTGGGGCTTTCATTCCTTTGCCTGTTTAATCCTCCTGGAAGCTACAAAGATCTGGGGGTCCCTATGGTCCCAGGACTCCATCCCATATTCCTTTGTCTGTTTAATCCTCCTGGAGGCTACAGGGACCTGGGATCCCCACAACCCCAGGACTCCATCTCACAATTTGGGGTTTTCATTCCCTTGTCTCTTTAATCCTTACGGAAGCTGCAAAATCTGGGATCCCCACAGCCCCAGGACCCCATCCCACAATCTGGGCCTTTCATTCCCTTGTCCCTTTAATCCACCTGAAGGAGGATTAAAGGTTTCAAGGTTTCAAGGAGGGTTGGGGTCCCCCAGCTGCCTCCCACCCTCCCCTCTGAGCATCCCCTGGTGTCGAGTCCCAAACTTCGGCAATGCCACGCTGTGGGATGCTCCAAACCCGGCTCTAACACGTTCCGGGGTGAGGGTGGTGGGCAGCACCCCAAAAAGCTGCCCGGGGGCGGGGGGTGCGGCCGCTCAGGGCGGGTCCTGCTGTGCCCCACAGCCGAGGTGCTGTTCCTGCTGTGGGGCAGCTTCCTGTGCCACGCCACGCGCGCCGTGCCCTCGGCCTTCCACGAGCCCCGCTACCTGGGCATCGCCCTGCACAACGAGCTCGTGCTCTCTGCCGCCTTCCACGCGCTCAGGTAGGGCCACGAGCCACGGCTGCCACCCCCGGGGATGCTCAGGAGGCTTCCAAGGTGGGGTTTGGGTGCTCTGGATCTGCAGGGGAAAGGGGGTTTGGGTGCTCAGGATCTCCAGAGGAAATGGGATTTGGGTGCTCAGGATCGTCAGAGTGGGAAAGGTTTGGGTGCTCTGGATCTGCAGGGGAAAGGGGGTTTGGGTGCTCAGGATCTCCAGAGAAAAGGGGGTTTGGGTGCTCAGGATCCTCAGAGTGGGAAAGGTTTGGGTGCTCAGGATCTCCAGAGAAAAGGGGGTTTGGGTGCTTAGGATCCCCACAGTGGGAAGGGTTTGGGTGCTCTGGATCTGCAGAGAAAAGGGGATTTGGGTGCTCAGGATCTTCAGAGAAAAGGGGGTTTGGGTGATCAGGATCCTCAGTATGGGAAGAGTTTGGGATGCTCTGGATCTTCAGAGAAAAGCAGGTTTGGGTGCTCTGGATCTTCAGAGAAAAGCAGGTTTGGGTGCTCTGGATCTTCAGAGAAAAGGGGGTTTGGGTGATCAGGATCCTCAGCATGGGAACAGTTTGGGATGCTCTGGATCTTCAGAGAAAAGGGGATTTGAGTGCTCTGGATCTGCAGAGAAAAGCAGGTTTGGGTGCTCTGGATCTTCAGAGAAAAGGGGATTTGAGTGCTCTGGATCTGCAGAGAAAAGCAGGTTTGGGTGCTCTGGATCTTCAGAGAAAAGGGGGTTTGGGTGCTCGGGATCCTCAGTATGGGAAGGGTTTGGGTGCTCAAGATCTGCAGAGAAAAGGGGATTTGGGTGCTCTGGATCTCCAGAGGAAAGCAGGTTTGGGTGCTTGGGACCCCCACAGTGGGAAGGGTTTGGGTGCTCAGGATCTGCAGAGAAAAGGGGGTTTGGGTGATCAGGATCCTCAGCATGGGAAGAGTTTGGGATGCTCTGGATTTTCAGAGAAAAGCAGGTTTGGGTGCTCTGGATCTCCAGAGAAAAGCAGGTTTGGGTGCTCTGGATCTCCAGAGGAAAGGGGGTTTGAGTGATCAGGATCTCCAGAGGAAACAGGATTTGGGTGCTCGGGACCCCCACAGTGGGAAGGGTTTTGGTGCTCTGGATCTTCAGAGAAAAGCAGGTTTGGGTGCTCAGGATCTGCAGAGCAAAGGGGATTTGGGTGCACTGGATCTCCAGAGAAAAGGGGATTTGGGTGCTCTGGATCTTCGGAGAAAAGGGGGTTTTGGTGCTCTGGATCTTTGGAGAAAAGAGGATTTGGGTGCTCAGGATCTGCAGATAAAGGGGTTTTGGTGCTCAGGATCCTCAGAGTGGGAAGGATTTGGGTGGCCAAGCAGCCCAGAGGGGATTGTGGAGTCTGGAGGTGGGGAGGGGCTGTGGTGGGAGCTGGCACTGCCCCCCTGGTCCCTGCCAGGTTCCTGATCGTCCCCTCACTGCACCCGGACTGGACTCTGCTGCTCTTCTTCGCTCACACCCACGGCACCACCACCATGACCCTGGCCCTGCTCTTCATTCCCAAGGTATTCCAGGGGAGGAACGGAGCTGGGGAAGGCGCTGGAGCACCAGGAGATGATCAGGGAGCTGGGGGGAGAAGAGGAAGCTAAGAGGGACCTTCTGGCTCTCCACAAGTCCCTGACAGGACCTGCGGAGGGTCAGGCTTTGCTGCCAGGGAATGGGGATAGGAGCAGAGGGAACAGCCTCAGGGTTTGCCAGGGAAGGTTTGGGTTGAATATTGGGGAAATTTCTCATGGAGAGAGTGATCAGGGGTTGGAACAAGCGGAGTCCCCACCCCTGGAAGTGCTCGAGAACCTGTGGATGTGGCTGTGTCAGCACTGGGGGAGCAGCTGGACTCGCCGACCCCGGAGAGTTTTTCCAGCCTCCACAATTCCACGATTCCATCGCTCACACTCATCCCGGAGATTCGGGGAGCTGGGAGGGGACCCCCGGCGTGACTCCCCGTGTCCCCGCGCAGTTCCTGCACACGGGCTCGCCGCTGCGGGAGGAGATCACGGCCGAGGTGTACGAGGACGAGCTGGACATGCGGCGCTCGGGCTCCTGCATGAACAGCAGCATCGCGTCCGCCTGGAGCGAGCGCAGTCTCGACCCCGATGACATTCGGGTGGGTGGCACACTCAGGACCTTCTTTTGACGCTAGCTGTGCAGAGTAAGAGGTGCCTTTCGCAATCTTTTCCTGATGCAAAGCAGAGGGAGGGGACGAGGGGGTGCAGGGTGACCCCACCCGGGTGGGCAAACCCGCTGCGTCCCCTGGGCAGCGCGGGCGGCTCTGGGGACACGGGGACAACGCGGGGCTCGGCGGGGCGGTCCCGGCCGCAGCCCCCGCTGTAGGCGCTCTCCTCTCTCCCTTTTCTCTGCCGCGTTCCCCCCCACCACCACCGCCCGCGGCGCAGGAGGAGCTGAAGAAGCTCTACCGACAGCTGGAGGTGCACAAGACGTGGAGGATGGCCACCAACAACCCGCACCTGGCCAAGAAGCGCAGCTCCCGCCGCAGCCTCGCCCGCTCCATCCTGCGCCGCAGCGATGCCGGGCTGGCCGAGAGCGGCGCCGGGGACCGGCCGGGGACCCTGTCCCGCCGCAGCTCCTCGGCCAAGCGGCTCGCCGATGCCTCCGGGACCGGCCTGAGGATGCGGGACGAAAGCTCCCGGCGCCGCTCCTCAGCCCTGCGCAAGTCCCGCAGCTCCGAGGGACCCCCGCGGGAGCCCCGCCGAGGGTCGCCCACCCGCAGCCCGCCCGAGGAGCCTCCGCCGGCGGCCGTGAGGGACGTGGAGCAATCGGACAGCGACTCGCTGGACGCCGCCCCGCTCCTGTGCAAATCGGCCAGCGCCCAAAACCTGGCGGGGCACTGGCAGCGACCCCCGGGCCGCCCCCCGCCTTTGCAGAAGTCGCACAGCGTTGTCACCGGGGCGAGGGAAGTGGCGCTGCTGGCTGCCCGCCACCTCTCCGCGCCGGCCCCGGGGGTCCCCAGCGACACCGCCACCCCCCAGAGCCCCCGAGGCTCGCAGGAGGACGCGGCGCCGCCGGGAGATGCCGAGGGACACGAACGTGTCACCTACGCGCCCGTCAAAAAAAGCGTCAGCGTGGACAGCGCCCGCCCGGCCAGGAAGGTGCGGGTGACCGTGAAGAAAACGCCACCTCCGCCCCCCGTCCGCTACCAGAGCCTGCAGCGCTCCGGGACGCTCGGGGACAGCCCGGAGCCAGCGCCGGGCCCCCCGGGACCGGCGGGACAGGCGGAGGGGACGGCAGGGCACGACCCGGAGCGCGGGTCCCCCCCGGCGGGGAAGGGCAGGATGCTGACCCCGAGGGCCACCTCGGCACACGTCTGTCCCTGGGAGCTGATCCAGGACGAGATTCTGAGTAGGAAGCAAAAAGCGGCCGAGGCAGCAGAGTCCGGGAGCCCCGGTGACACAGCGGCCACCAGCCCCGGGCCCAAGCCGCCCCCCGCGAAAAGTTTCCGCAGCCTGGGACTCGCCATCAAAGCCCTCAACCGCTCCAGGGGGAAGAGCATCCTGAAAGGGAAAAGCGAGGGGAGCCTCAGGAAGAGGGGGAGCAGCAGCAGGAGGGAGAAGCCCGGCCTGGCAGAGGCCTCGGCCGTGTCCCTCGGGGGGCTCAGCCCAAACCCCGCTGCCAAAACCCCCGAGGGGAGCGGGCAGAGCCCGGAGACCCCCGCCCTGCAGCACAACAACAACGCCGCCACCCCCGGGGAAGCGGCGGGCTGGGGGGACAGCGGGACAGGAGGACAGGGGGCCAGGCTGGCCGCGGGGACAGGCGATGGGGACACAGCGGCAGAGGAGCCCAGCGCTGCCCGGGGGAAGGCGGGCACTGGTGGGCGTCTGGAGCCACCCAGCTCGGGCCACCAAGGAGCTGAACGTCCCCCGGAGGTGGCACGGGCGCAGGAAAGGGACGAGGCTCCGGATCTGGGGGAGGGCATTCCTGGGGTCACAGCGGAGGAAGGGACACTTGACGAGCTCGAGGGGACCAGCGGATCCTTCCAGCCCCGGGACCAGCCGGAGGAGGAGCAGCCGCCTGCGAAGCTCGCCCCGAGCAGCGTGCGGGGCGCGGCGGGGCCGAAGCCGCGGGCTGGGCTCGGTCCGCCCGGCTCGCTCGGAGCCCCGGCAGGAAGGGGAGCCCTGCTGCGCCAGCAGGCGATCGCTCCCCGGGAGGAGGCAGAGAGCCCGGACAAGGCGCTGGGAGAGCCGAGCAGCCGGCCCGACTCCGAGCGGGTCCCTGGAAGGAGCCGGAGCGGGGCTGGGAGAGCGCAGCCCCCAGGAACGCGGGGAGATTCCAGCCCCGAAGCAGGAATCTGCCCGGGGATGGGCGGCAGTGAGGCGGATTCTCAGCGCGCTCCGGGCATGGAAAAGCCACCAGAGCTGCCCAAATTGGCCCCGGAGGAAGCGGAGGGCAGGAGGGTTGAGGTGTGCCCGTGGGAGAGCCGGGAACAGGGAGGGAGTGTCCGAGCAGAAATCTGCCCCTGGGACACAGAAGGGGCTCTGCCAGAGCAGGGATCCCCCAAATCTGGAGGTGTGGAGCAGCCTGGGATGGGAAAACCCCCAGCTCTGCCCAGAGCCGCATCCCAGCGGGCTGGAACCACGGAGATTAAAAAGGCCAGCATCTGTCCCTGGGAGGTGGAGGGTGAGCCGCGCCCAAAAACGGAGATCTGCCCCTGGGAAGAGGCTGCAGCTCCGTCGGGGAAGGAGAGATCGAGGGAGGACACGCGTGGCACTTCCAAAGGGGAAGAAAAAGTGGGAGCCAGAGCACCGGAAAAAGGAAAGCAGCACCCAGCCAAATCCCTGCCCAAATCTCCTCCAGGGAGATCCCAGAGCTCGGAGAAGGCAGAGATCTGTCCCTGGGAGAGTCAGGACCTTAAATCCAGTGACAAAGCTGAAATCTGTCCCTGGGAGGCGGCTGCACCTCAACTGGAGAAAGGAACAGCCCCAGGAAAGGAGAAACTCCCAGGAAAAGACACAACCAAAGCTCTGGAGAATGGGAGCAGAGAGAGGGAATCCATCTGTCCCTGGGAGTCTCAGGGCTCTAAATCCAGTGACAAAGCTGAAATCTGTCCCTGGGAAGTGGCTGAACCTCAACTGGAGAAAGGAACAGCCCCAGGAAAGGAGAAACTCCCAGGAAAAGACACAACCAAAGCTCTGGAGAAGGGCAGCAGAGAGAGGGAATCCATCTGCCCCTGGGAGAACCAGGACAGGGAGCTGACCCCGGCCAAATCCCAAACTGGGAGCTCAGCACTGCCCAAAGCTCCTTCAGGGAAATCCCAGAGCTCAGAGAAGGCAGAGATCTGTCCTTGGGAGGTCGAATCCAGCAGCAAAGCCGAGATCTGTCCCTGGGAAGCGGCTGAACCTCCCTGCCAGCAGCCAAAGGCAAAGCAGGTCCCTGCTGGGGGCACCAAGGGGGACAAGCGCATCACGCGCCAGGCAGCGCTGGGCAGCCCGGAGAGATCCCTGGGCAGCAGAGACCGAGCGTCCGTCTGTCCTTGGGAGAGCCAGGACACAGAGCTGACCCCGGCCAAACCCCAAACTGGGAGCTCAGCACTGCCCAAAGCACCTCCAGGGACATCCCAGAGCTCGGAGAAGGCAGAGATCTGTCCCTGGGAACTCGAATCCAGCAGCAAAGCTGAAATCTGTCCTTGGGAGAGCCCAGACACGGAGCAACCCCTGGTCAAATCCCAAACTGGGAGCTCAGCACTGCCCAAAGCTCCTTCAGGGACATCCCAGAGCTTGGAGAAGGCAGAGATCTGTCCCTGGGATACTCAGGATGTTGAATCCAGCAGCAAAGCTGAAATCTGTCCCTGGGAGGTGGCTGAGCCTGAGCTGGAGAAAGGAACAGCCCCAGGAAAGGAGAAACTCCCGGGAAAAGCAGAGAAGGGGAGCAGAGAGAGGGAATCCATCTGTCCTTGGGAGAGCCCAGACACAGAGCTGACCCCGGCCAAACCCCAAACTGGGAGCTCAGCACTGCCCAAAGCTCCTCCAGGGAGATCCCAGAGCTCAGAGAAGGCAGAGATCTGTCCCTGGGATACTCAGGATGTTGAATCCAGCAGCAAAGCCGAGATCTGTCCTTGGGAGTCCTCAGGTAAAGAGAAACCCAGACAGGACAAAGAGGAGCCACCCAGGCTGAGCAAAAGCCCTTCCACAAGTCAAGGACTCCTGAAGGAAGTGGGAGCTTCTTTCACTTCTGGAAAGAAGGATCGACAGTCCGTCTGTCCTTGGGAGAGCCCAGACACAGAGCTGACCCCGGCCAAATCCCAAACTGGGAGCTCAGCACTGCCCAAAGGAGCTCCAGGGAAATCCCAGAGCTCAGAGAAGGCAGAGATCTGTCCTTGGGAGGTTGAATCCAGCAGCAAATCTGAAATCTGTCCCTGGGAGGTGGCTGAACCTCAGCTGGAGAAAGGAACAGCCCCAATTAAGGAGAGACTCCCATCAAGAGAAGCCTCTAAAATTCCGGAGAAGGGAAACAGAGACCGAGCATCCGTCTGTCCTTGGGAGAGCCAGGACACAGAGCTGACCCCGGCCAAACCCCCAACTGGGAGCTCAGCACTGCCCAAAGGAGCTCCAGGGAGATCCCAGAGCTCGGAGAAGGCAGAGATCTGTCCCTGGGAACTCGAATCCAGTGACAAAGCCGAAATCTGTCCCTGGGAGATGGCTGAGCCTGAGCTGGAGAAAGGAACAGCCCCAGGAAAGGAGAAAATCCTGGGAAAAGACACAACCAAAGCTCTTGAGAAGGGGAGCAGAGAGAGGGAATCCATCTGTCCCTGGGAGTCTCAGGGCTCTAAATCCAGTGACAAAGCTGAAATCTGTCCCTGGGAGGTGGCTGCACCTCAGCTGGAGAAAGGAACAGCCCCAGGAAAGGAGAAACTCCCACCAGAAGCCTCCAAAGCTGAGGAGAAGGGGAGCAGAGACCGGGAGTCCATCTGTCCATGGGAGAGCCTGGACAGGGAGGAGCTGTCCCCGAAATCTGCCGTGGGGAAGGAGCCATCCCACAAATCCCACAGCACGGAGAGCAGGAAATCTGCAATCTGCCCCTGGGAAGCAGCGGCGCCCGTTGGGTTGGAGGAGGAAATGTCCCAGCCAGATGTGCAGGCACAGGCAGCCCAAAAAGCTTCCTCTGCAGGGATGGGACAACTGGGTGCCAGCGCTGGGTCTCCAACACCTCTGGAAAAATCCCACGAGCACAAACCCCTGTGCCGACTCCTGCCCGGCGCCCAGCGCCCAGGGGTGGGCAGCAGCCCCGGCCCTGGCGCTGGCCTGGCCGAGGTTTGTCCTTGGGAAGCTGGAGAGGCTCCAGCAGGACCGGCCAAGCCCAGTTTGGACATGAGGAACAGCTCGGAGGTGTGTCCGTGGGAGGAGGAGAGCACGGATCCCTCCCGGACCTGCCCCGGGCACGGCAGAGCCCGGGATGGGGGTGGGGTGTGAGTGGATCCCAGCACCAGTGGCTCCATCCATGAATCCATGGATTCCATCCATCCATCACCCATCCATCCATGGATTCCATCATCCATCCATCACCCATCCATCCCTCCATGGATTCAATCCATCCATCCATGGATTCCATCCATCCATCACCCATCCCTCCATGGATTCCATCATCCATCCATCACCCATCCATCCCTCCACTCATCCATGGATCCATCCCTCTGTCCTTCCTTCCCTCCATCCATGGATTCCATCCATCCATCCATCCATCCATCCATCCATCCATCCATCCACGGATCCATCCCTCCATCCATCAATCCCTCCATCCATCCTCCATTCATCCCTCCATGGATTCCATCATCCATCCATCCTCCATGGATTCAATCCATCCATCCATGGATTCCATCCATCCATCCATCACCCCTCCCTCCATGGATTCCATCCCTGGATTCCATCCATCCCTCCATGGATTCCATCCATCCATCATCCATCCATCCCTCCACTCATCCTGGATCCATCCCTCTGTCCTTCCTTCCCTCCATCCATCTATCCATCCATGGATTCCATCCATCCCTCCATGGATCCCTCTATCCCTGGATTCCATCCATCCATCCATGGATTCCTTCTATCCATCCCTCCATCTCTCTATGGATTCCATCCCATCCCTCCATGGATTCCTTCTGTCCCTCCATGAATTCCATCCATCCATCCATCCTCCATCCATCCCTCCATGGATTCAATCCATCCATCCATGGATTCCATCCTCCATCCATCCATAGATTCCATCCATCCATCCTCCATCCATCCATCCATCCATGGATTCCATCCATCCATCCATCCATGGATTCCATCCATCCATCCATCCATCCATCCATGGATCCCATCCCTCCATGGATCCCATCCCTCCATGGATCCATCCTGCTGCCCCTGCCCAGCCCTGGATTTGGACTGTGGGGAGGGGTCTGGGGCTGTGAGCCTGAAGGTCCTGGCTGTGTAATTTTGTGTAAATACAGGAAAATAAACGGAATTCTCTACGGAGTGCGCTCGGAGAGGCTCACGGCGAGGTGGGGCCCAGCTGGGATACCCCCAGGGAAGGCGCTGGAGAGGAAATCCAGCACTGGAGGGGTCGAGTGGCTGGAAGGAAAGGCCATGCTCCCAAAAAAAGCCACATTCCACCCAAAAATCCCCTTTCCATTCCGGGGAACCCCACAGAACCCCAGGTTTGGAGGGAAGGAGCCTTAAATTCCATCCAGGGACACTTCCCACTGTCCCAGGCTGCTCCAACCTGGCCCTGGACACTTCCAGGGATCCAGGGGCAGCCTCAGCTTCTCTGGGAATTCCATCCCAGCCCCTCAGGGAGGAATTCCTTCCCAAAATTCCACCTCTCCCTGGCCTCTGGCAGAAGGAACCCATTCCCTGTGCCCTTCATCCCTCTGTCCCATCTTTCCCCATAGTTCCTTCAGGGAATCCTCCATGGGGTCACCCCAAAATTCCCCTTTTCCAGCCTGAACAATCCCAATCCTCCCCTCCCTCCGGGTGCAGGAATTCCATTCCCTCCTGCCCTGGGATCCACAGAGAGATCTGAGCTCCCACACTCCGTGGAAATTGGTTTTTTTTGGTTTTTTTTGTTTTTTTTTTTAGGAACAGATTGCGACAATTTTTAAATAATAAAATAATAAACAAATAAAAACAATTTTTTAGGACACCCCTGTGACATCCCAAGGGACATGGCAGGGATTCCACTGCTGGCTCCTCTCCCAGCACGGCACAAAGAGGAGCTCCTGCCCTCCCAAAATGAAACACAGAGAAGCAAAAAGGAGCCACAGCTCCTCTTTTTTTGTTTTTTTGGGTTTTTGTTTTGTTTTGTTTTGTTTTTTACAGCTCTGCAAAATCCCTCTCAAGGAAAAAATAAAAATTCCCTGAACTCTCCCACGCTCTGGAAGTGGCTGAGTTAAAAAGCAGGACGAGAAGGAGAAAAGGGTTTGTTCTTGGGGGAGCAGGGAGGGTTTTCTCTGTGAGGAGAACTGGCTGAGCAGAGCAGGAATAAAGAAGGAACCTCACAGAGGGAAAAAAACCAAAAAGTTGTTTTTCCAGCCCAGGAAAAGCAGGGACAGCAGCAAATGTCACCGTGCCCACAGGATGGTGCCAGCCCCTCAGTGACAACACCAACCCCAGCCCCTCGTCAGGAATCAAAACTGAAATTAAATCAAATTATCAGCTCCTCTGGCAACCACAGAACTTAAAGTTCTCCTGGTTTCTGTTTAAAAAATAGGAGTTTGAGAAAGAGATGGGGAAAAAACAGTGCCAACAGCCACTGGTGAAGTTTTAATGACTGAGCTGCAGGTCTGTGACACTCCCCATGGAGGTGACAAACACTCCAAGGGCTCTCCCATGGAATTCCAGGACAGAGGGTGGCCTCTGGATGCTCCCGAAGCTCCTCATCCTCATGGAAACCCAGCGAGGGCGAGGCTCGCTCGTTTTGAAGGATTTGTACAAATTTTGGAGTGGCTGGAGCCCATTCCCAAAGGCACAATTCCCAATCCTCCCTCCTGGCCTGTCTGATGTCCCTGTCCACATTCCAGAATTTTCTACTTCACCGTTTCGTGCTCCTGTGAGGCATCCGGGGCTGGAATCATCACGGTCTGCAAAAGCAAGGGACAAAAATCAGCAGGAAAAAAGGGGAGCAGAGGGTTCTGGAAAGGGAAAAAAAATGGGATCAAATGGAGGCAGGAGAAGGGAATGGGACGGGAAGCCTTGAATTGCACTGGAATTCTCCCCTCCTCCTTCTCCAACATCTATTTTTAGTCAGGAAGGTCAGGCAAAAGGGGGAAATAATTCCCAAAATTACCCCACACCTGCCCTCAGCCATTCCAGGCCCTCAGCCTCCCATTCCAGCTCCCAGGTGTTCCAGGGAGCAATTCCATGGAAATTCCAAACAGCTCTGCTTTGTCCAGAATGATCCCCAGGGAT